TGTAGAGTTCACTGATGAGAGCTAAGCACTCTTTACCTCGTCTCCCCTCCCGCAAAGCCCCCCCCCCCATGAGCTAACGCTCCATCTCTGCTATTCCTAGATCTATGGTCCACCATGTGCCGCCATGTCTTGTTCCCACACAGCACAGAAAGATTGCAGGAAGATAGCAGAAATGTTACATTGCAAGATGGCAATATTGCAGCAACGTTGAAATGTCCGCCCTCAGAGAGATTGCAGTGCAACATTATAGCAATGTTGCAGCGCAATATTTTTTGAATAATTTGTCGTTGTACATAAGCAGAGAATTTACTAATTACATACATATACATCCGGGCCTTTTTCAATGCATAGCAAGTTATTGCGAGGTAACTTAAGGAGGTCATGTCGCTTCACAATAGATGGAGATTGCGAGCAACACCGTAACGCGTACTGATCAAGTGTACTTATAATAATTCGCGCATTATTGGTATCAACGGAAATAGCATTATAACATTCTCGTAGTTAGAAAAATTTTTTAAATAGAAAATATAGTATTTTCATTATTTTTGAAACATTGCCGTTACGAAAAAGTAACGAAATAATTACTGGAAAATTACTGTATATCAGTAATTGAACTATCAGAAATTACTGATGTACAGTCATTTTCTAATAATTATTTCGGCGCTTTTCCGTAAGGGTGCTGCAATATTATTGCTATCGAAAGTTTGCAATTTTATATTCCTGCAATGTCTCTGCAAGATTGCACTGCGATCTGCAAGATTGCAACTTATTGGTCCAGACGGTCGTGTGCTATGCATATGCAGCTTGTATATTTTTGTGTGCAATGGCCCTTATCCTTTATTCACCTAACAAAACATGGTGAAACTCTTGTCTCACTTTTCAGCTAGAGGGTAACAGTTTAGTAGTATATAGAAGTCTGCGAGTTTTGTACTGATACATATTACTATATTTATAATATGGCAGCATGGTGTCGCGTTCTGGATTCTCTTAACATCTACGTGCGCTGTGTGCCTTCATTGGACATTGTTGAAAAAACTGTATCGGCGTGTTCTAATCTCACAAAGAAACTTGGGAGTTTAAAATTTTAATCAAGACTTAGAAGTAAGACTTAACTTATATAAAATTATATGTGATAGAAATTAAATTAAAATTATTCAATAGTTATTAACAAAAGTTCAATTATTATATATACAATGATTTGTTCAACATATATGTAGGATATTCGGCATAACGTGTGCATTCACTCGTATACAGGTAAGTCTCGTTAAACTTAACTAAAATTCCTGTATTATTTTGAAAATAACTACTTTTCCCATTTTCAGTGCTACGTAGCGAGAAAGATGGGGGCATTTTGGGTGTGGCTTGGATAGCTCAGTTGGAAGAGTATTCGCTCGGCAAGTGAAAGGTCTCGGGTTCAAGTCCCGGTCTTGTCGTAGCCCGTTATTTTTTCTCGAAAATTAATGGGGTGCTTTGCAACAAGAGACACAAATTGACACATTGTAACACAGAATCATTTTATCCTCGTTTAATAATGTAATAAATAATAAAGATAAAACGATTCACTGTGTTATACAGTGTCGCCTGTGTACGTTGCTGAAAAGCACCCAATAAGTGGCACGTCTTAGTGCCTACTTCTCGAAGATACATCCCTATTTATTACTATGGATAAAACGTTCAGAGATTAATGAGAAAAAATTGACGAATTGCGTGTGCGCGTTGCAGTAGGTTGAACCACTGTAGGCGTTGTTTATCTCTTCTCTGTCTCTCACTGTTGCCCTATCCCTATGGGACTATGTGACTGAGCAACAGAATAAAAGCATTCTCGAAGAGTAGGGACGAAAGATGAAAGCACGTCAAATGATACAAATGGACCATAGGTAGAAACCGTAGCGTGTGTGCTCCTTGGCGAAAATAAGAAGCTTTATGAAGCGTTGATAACCGTTAAATGAAGGTTTTTTTAAAGTTCATACGTTTTCAAACTTTATGAGAATGCTTACACAACGCCGTTGTGTTTTGAGCGCTTTCAGAACGCTTATAAAATACTGTATATAACGTTTCATAAAAGTTCTACAACGCTAAGTTCAAAAATGCTATATACAAACGTCTTCTAAACGCCGTAGCGTTGCAATTTCCGCTCTACAAATTCTCTATTGACCGTTTTTAAACTGTCAACGAACTGCAAACGCTCACGTAAACGCTATACAAATACTTATGAAACTTTTTATTTTTGCCAGGGCTATAGCTAGCATCTGCTGTGGATTCTGTATTATGTGCTTTCACCTTTACAAAGCTCATCTCATCGCATAGCGTACTGGCTTACCAATTTTTTCCATTAGTCTCTCATTTATAACATAGGTATTTTCAAAATAATATAGAAGGTATAGATTTTTTAGTTTAGTTTTACGAGATGTATGAGCGAATATACGCCTTGTGCTAGACATCCTGCACTCGTATATACCCCAATAACCATTTCTGCAGAGGCAACATCTGCAAACAAATTTTGCTTCCCGAAAAGCTGCTGATGAGAAACATGTTTTTTTATTGAAAACGTGAGCAAAATTGTAGTAGAAATTTACCAACATCTGTTGGCAGACTACACGACAAAATGACGGCAAATAGCGAGCAGATTTGTTAAAAGACCACGAAGAAGATTGTCGAAGTTGACGGCAGATTGATAGCAAACACCAAGCAGTCTGCTGACTTAACTTGTCAACAGATTGGTAGCAAATTTTGTTTATTGGCGATTTATAGTTTGTAACTTTCCCATTAGATGGACGCATGGTATGACACTTTCTCTCGTAAGAAACAAACTGCACACGGCATTATAAATTAATGCATCCAAATGAAATTTTTCGATCATCTTTCTAGTGCTGAAGTGAGCTCTTTTGCACTCTCATCTACGAGTGTGTAGAAACCTTAAAGAATTATTACTATATGTTTACACATCTTTTGTAATATAAAGAAATGAAAACGTTAAAAAAGAAATAGAAACTGAAAATCCTGCTCAGTTTCTGCTGCCAATCTACCGTAGTTTTTTTTGCAATTTTCTGACAGACATTTCCTGGGCATATGGTACAAATTTGTTGGAAGTATGCGAGTGACAAATCTGCTCTCGATTTGGTGCGTCATCTGTCGTATTACTAATGACAGATTTACTCTTATGTTGTACTCAATTTGACATCAGAATGTGATTATAATTTTTAGTTGCAATTAGGGCGCACTTGAGGACACAGTAGGCTCTGGATTTGGCAGATTCACTTTGCAAGAAATTATTTCCCGATTGTTAACAATCTGCGAGCAACTGGTTATCTGGGTATAGTGTGTGGACTCGTGATACCACTCACGGAAAGATAGAAAGGACTGAGACAAACAGAATTTTCGCAATAGTTGTCGAGATATTACATTTGGCGGTAGATCGGGCTAATACGGTGAATTTTTTTCATCAATATTTCGTAAACTATTGCGAAAATTGCAAAATGCTACAGAACTTCTGTTTGCCTTACCCCCCCCCCCCTTCTATCTTCCCGTGAGCGGTGTCAGGAGTTGTGCAGAGCACTCTGCATATTAATTATTAACATATCTATAAATTAAATTAATAAATTGTCTCGCTTATGCGAGAGAAAATATTTATTCTACTTTCATCTCTATATGATCACACAAACGCACAAGACCAACGCTTTATTGTTGATCTTTAGTGCTTTTCCTCGTAGTTCTGTACGGACAATTATATCGTAAACGCAGCTATATGGCTATTTTCACGCTGTACCAATCTACGAAATACATCAAACCGATTGTTAGCGTCACATGTTTCATAGTACCGGCGACTAGCTAAAATTTTCGACAGTCTCGTTTTTGGATGGTACACGTTGTACATAGCGTTATTCTCGACCGAGAACTCGGTCTATCACGTTATGGTCACGACGAATGACAATTTCTTTGTATCAACGCGTTCTATTATCTATTTAGCAACTTTTCCTTGTAAGGGCCCACGAATTCTATCCGGCAACAAAAACAGAGTACTCCTCCTTTGCTTTTGAAGAGAGCAAGAGTTTTCATTTTACGGGGGCTGTAATAAGTTAGTGACTTTGAAGTGAAAGAATTTTTGTACCAAAATTCTATTTATTTTTCAATCTAATCCCCTTTTATCTCGATGCATTTTGCCTAACGATTTTCCACTTCTTTAAACCTTCCAAAAAAAAACGATTTCTCAAATTTTGCAAAATACACGTTTGTTTCAGTAATGATCTCCTCGTTCGATGCGAATCTTTTTCCACCAAGCCATATCTCCGATTTGAGTGTTATCTCTTGTAAAAGTCACTGACTTATCAAACAGCCCTCATACCTGAACGGAATTCGTGAGAAAATGTCTGTTTGGAGGAAGAATTATACAACTAAAATTACATGGGATGTACGGTGTTCTTTGTGCTCTGCTTCGATATCCTCGTGAGAGGCTCCTCGTCGAGATCATTGGAGATTTGATTCCATTGTTCATCCTCCTCTTCCTCCTCGTCGTGCAACGAATCTTTCCTAAAGATAGACAGAGTTACAGTTCTTTATTGTTGTAATAAGATCTTAATAAAAATTGAGAACAAAAAGAGATTAGCAAAATTAACTTTTCAAGGGAAGTGTGACATTAAAGGTGGAACCACTATTTTAGCGTTAAAAGCATCATCCTATCTTTATTGCTCATTATACGACGAAGAAAGAATCGTTAATTACTCGCACTCAGTTTCTTCTCAAGACAATTGAATTTTATTTGATTGCACATATTGCACTGTACAGGGTATTCTGCGATGATCGAATCCGCCGGCAAATTTAAATTGAGCGAAGCAAATCGAAAGTCCCATATCATTTTGCAAAATTCACGACAGTTTTCGAATAATAAATAAAAACGTCTGGGCGAATAAACGCACGAGAAACTGTAGGCCGCACTCGGTAGACTTTAAATGGCTTATTTGTTCCATCTTGTAGCGGTGAAGAACGTGCGGTGAGCATCATCTGAAGCTCGCCGCTCGCTGCGTGACAAGTTTTTCGGTGTGCAGCCAGTTTCACCTCCGTCTCTAACTGTCAGATACCCATGCCCATCGTTGCTACGACACTAAACAAATAAGACATTTAACGTACCTACCGAGTGCCGAGTCCGGCCTACTGCTCGTGCGTTCATTCGCCCAGACGTTTTTTTTATTACTCGAAAACTATTGTGAATTTTGCAAAATGATATGAAACTTATTGATTTGCCTCGCTCTATCTAAATTTTACGGCGAATTCGGTGATCGCAGAACATCCTGTGTAAGAGAAAACATATTTTCAAGAAATTAATATAAATTGACTATAAAGTGATATTAAGTTCATGGAGATCTTTTTGTAAACAATTAGCGAGAATGCCTCCATGCCTCCATGTAGGTAGCCCAATAATTCAAATCTTATTATGTGAGTATGGTATTGAATGCTAAATTTAGCATTTAAATACAAATTATTAGAAATCATCAATGATTTTTATTTGACCGTATCTGGCAATTTTTATAATACGGAAAATTTATTGCGAAAAATATTACCTCAGCCAGGGTTTGAACCTGGACCTTCATTCTCTCTATACCCAGTGAGAAATGATTCGTCGATCGACGTCGAAACGACATCAAATCGACATCGACACCGTCGAATTGACGTCGATCGACGAATCATTTCTCACTGAGTAGGCGGGCGTCTCAACCCAAGGCATGCCTCGGTGGTCGAATTGGTTGAGACGCCCGCCTAGAGAGAAGGGAGGTCCAGGTTCAAACCCTGACTGAGGTAATATACCTACATCCTGCTTGGACCTACATGGCATTCTCGTTGGTTGTTTGATTTTATCTAGGGGTCTTATTTAACTCTAATCTTTTTTCAAAGTACTACATGTAATTATATAAATTTAAAAAATAAGTCGATTTCGAAGACTACGCGCGAATAGTTAAAGATTAAAATAAAAGTCTAATCTTGTAATTTGCAGGAATACTCTCTCTATCTTTCCAACGAATATTCCAGTGAGCCCATAACAAACAGAAGATCGGAAATTTTGCAAAGCTATTAATTTCTACTAGATCTAATTAAGGAATTACAGGAGAGTAATATTACTAACTGATATTTGTTGCTGGACGGTAGAAATAAAGATTTCGGGCAATCCTTGAAATATGGCCAGCACTCGCCGTGAAATTTCCCACGGTTCTCCGCCTCGACATATTCCTTGAGAAGGTTTGCAAACGGCGACCGGCTGGCGCTAAGGATAAAAGGTTTGAATTTTTTTTATACGATCTGAAATATTTATTAAGAATATCATTTATAGTTGCCAGTGGTGATTAAGAATTAAAACAGTAAACGTTTTGTCAACCTAACTGGCAAATTTTATTCAATTCGTTACAACATTTCGGATGTGGGCTTATTTTTATCTTTTAACGGATAACGATGACTTACTAGTCTATGAATTTTTCCTTGTTTTCTTATTTAGTTCGTTAATTTATTTTCTATTCTCTTTACTAGATGACTGATTAATAATTTTAATCTCTTATATTTTGTTGATTTTACAGTATTGCTACTTGAAAAGGACCTGAAGTAAGGCCGAAACGTTGTAACAAATTTAATAAAATTTGCCAGTTGGATTAACAATAAGCTCAGTATTTTAATTTTAAATATTTATTATAACTTTACAATGAGAAAATAGAATTATCCGACAGGGAGCTCCTCCAACGTTCTTTAAAGTTCTACGAGTCCGAACTACTTACGTGAAAAACAACTTCAGCATTTCGCCGATTAGTCCAAAGTTATTCAAGTGGTGTCCCTGGACCTCGCAGATCGCCCTTAACAGACATGCTTTGCCGTTCATTCCCAGCGTGGTCAGCATTTCCTCGGCGGTGATGTAAAGCAGGGCCCGCTCGCCACCCTGGAACGCGTTTCTCGGCATCTCTGTCATGTCCCGTTTGTGTAATCTGCGTTTGATGAAAGCCGCGATGAAGTCGGCCATCATCATGCCGGCCTGCCGGCTCTTCAATTTCCTGTCGAAACTCTGCGGCAGAGCGCCGTACGGGTTCTCGTTATCTGTCAGGCCTAGCTTATCGAAGTCGACTGGAAAAAGAGACGCATGAGAATTTTAACATCGCAATTTTTTTTTCGGATTAATCACACGGACGGACTCACTCGTAAATGGCAGACTGATGGTCATGTTGCTGAGGAACCCGTAAGGTGGATGCCGAACGAAAGGCAACGCCAACGTCGGCGTGATCGTCATGATTGTGCCGGGTGGCAGCGCGATGCGTCCGTCGTTCGTGAACCAGAAGACCCTCTTCTGCCGGTGATGCGGCGCTTGGCGCGAGGATTCGTCCTCGCGAAGCGTACCACTGGCACCACTAGCACCGCTGGATGTACTAGATGACTCCCTCAGCACGGCCAGACCGAGCAGCAGCAGCAGCAGCAGCAGAAGACGTCCTCTTTGCGACATTCTGCGCTGTCCGAGTTGCCGCGACGAGACACCTGCGGTCACAAAGAGACAGATACAAAATGTTCTACGCGCGCGTTTACCAGATAAGCCCACGAATTGGAGCGATTAGGATTCTTTCTGGTCTTCAAGTTCGCCGCTCCGTACATCTTTTCAAGAGGAGGAGGGGGTGCGGGGAAGACTGGTAGGTACCAGGCGGCATCGAGTGTGGATTGTGGATTAGATTAATCGTTTTATTTGTGAACGAAACGTGTATAATAATTCTCATCCTCCTGATGGCGCCTGAAGTAGGCCGCGCTACGGACCGGACCTCGCGAAATTATTTGCGATAAATCCTGCGACGATGTATGCGTGTACTAAGTATCGAAGTCACGAGACTTACGGTACCCGCGGTGTACGTCGAGTAAAGCGCCAGGAAAAAAACTCTTGCGACAGGTATTGCCGATGGATTTCGTCGTCTTCCTCTTCGTCGTCGTTGTCGTCGGCGACTCGCATCCTGTTCGCGCAAAAGCGACCTATGCGCGCGCAGTAGAAAATTTTCCCTTGATTGATATTCGGGACGGGTAGTGCACCTTGCGCTGTCCAATTCGGCCAATTAGAAACTTAATTTGTGGGTAAGGAGGATAAGAGCGTCTTTCAGGGGGATAACTGTGCCCCCTCGTCGCGCGATAAGCTAAACGTCCATTTATCACGCCGCTGAAAATTCGCACCTAAGAGTTATTCGCCGACAAAAGTATCGGGAATGCCGTAAGCAGGAGAGACAGAGAATGGAGTAAGTTTTCGGTGAGGGGGATTTTGTACCTTGCTATCCATGCTTTTCGGTATCGTTAACTAGCAACAGCCAATGGCAATGACGATCTTTGAAAAAGGCGCAGCTTTTCGTGGATTGTTGCTAGTTAACGATACTGAAAAGCCTCAATCGCAAGTTACAGAGTTCCCGTACTGGGCGTCAATTCTGTATCTTACACTGTAGTGCAAAAAATGAATAGCTTTGTCTCCTTTTAATCGTTCCCTTAGAAAGCTTTGTCTCTTTCTAATCGTTCCCTTAGAAAGAGACAAAGCCGTTTACTTTTAACAGTTTCACTGTATTGTAATATACAAAATTGACTCCCCCTGGAAGCTTAAACCCTCGAGGGAATGGAATCCGGAGTATCGCATTCGCGGAATTTTCGTTTAATCTTGATATTCCCATCGTTACGTTTTTCTATTACGTGATACCAGTAGAGGATATCATAACGTACACACGTTAAACGTGCATAGTCTTAATTATGTCGGATGCGCCGCGGAACGTGTGCTGATTGTTATCGCGAGCTTCGTGCCGCATCTCTCTCTCTCTCTCTCTCTCTCTGAGTCCTCCCCTTTACATCGAACTGCGTGACGACCATACGTCGTACCTACTTGCCGGTTACACCGGGACATTCGTGTGCGAGTCGAGTTCATTTTCTCATTAGGCTTTGGTCATACGACCGACCTCCCTACCGGCGAGAGACTCCCCACCCATTTTGATCAGTGTGTAACAGTATATAAACTGCAAAACAAGCGTGGTTAAGGGGAACCAGGCGACCGGGCTGTGCCCTAGAAAAATGCAAGCCGCACGCGCGTTTGTCCGTATACCGTCCGCGTCAGTCGTCACGTTCGTTCCTTCTTTCCTTCGAAACGAGCTGCTCGCCTCACGAGCTCCGCTAGCTCCCTCGCAAATCCCAGCTCAAATATTTATACGTGATATAAATCGAGGAATTTGGTGGAAGAACGACTTAAGTTTTCGTATAAGAATTTTACATTCCAAGTTTTTAAATTGAAAACTTACGTATTTATTGATCAAACTATAAGATTCCAAGTGCACATTTTATAGATATTGATCTATAAAATACGATTATAAAGCTTTTAGCTTAGCTTTTATAATATATGAAAATGCGATTTGTCGACTTAAGTCGTTCTTCCATCAAACTCCTCAATTGTATTATGTACATTGAGTATCGATAGCGTTTGTGCTGATGCAAACGTCTTCTTAAATCTGTTGAGAATGTTTGATTGAATTGGTAAAAATTAAATAATTGATACAATTTTCTCGTTAAACGCAAATGGTCGACGAGCGTTTCGGTTCCATAACTGCAGCATGAATTTTCGGCGCATTAAATTTACGAGAAGGTCATTACCCCCATATCACGGTCTTTTTTTTTATAAAACTTGTCCAGTTCTGGATTTAAATTCATTTTACGCAATCGTGCTTCGCGAATGTCGTAACACACACCGGTCATCACTCTAAAAAAAAATAAGAGAGAAATAACGTTTCTGCAAATTATCTTCGTCGAGAAATCAGCGGAAGCGCCGGAAACGGATCGACTCGATTCGATCTAGATTGTCTGACCCACATTGTTTAATGCGTGTCGAGAGTTAAAGTTCGGCTGACGGAAGAGTAGGAGGGTGGGTCGACCGCTAAGCGGCATCGCGCGGAATACGAATTACGATTGACCCCCATATTCCGATATGTGCGACGTGTCGTGCGTGTCCGAGGGGAGCGCGCGACTGACCGGCGCACCTCAAATTAAGCTACCTGGGTAATCAGGTCCCGGTACTGATATCGGCTGCAGGCCGCGCACCGGCTTTTTGACGAGGCACCGTTAGTTAACTTGTAAAAAAAACCGGGTCGATTTTTAAGATCTGGTTCCCGCAGCCGGTCCGAGAGAGGCGAGCGTGTGAGCGATCGGACGCCTCTTCCGGGGTGAAGCTCGACAGGTTTGATAATAATGTTCGCCGCTTAATGTCGGCTCGTTGGTGATTGCCTCCGGGCAATGTTTTCGCGTGAATGGAATTCTTATTACTGTAAGATAAAACACCTTTTTTGAGAGACACACATTAGGAGACCAGGTAGAACAAGCAATCAATTGAAGTGATGACCCTTTCATTGATTGGTTCTATTTACAAAATTTCAAAAGACACATTTCTTACCCAGTGAGAAATGACTCGTTGATCGATGTCGAAACGACGTCGATTCGATCTCACTAGGTAGCGTGCATTTACTGAGAAAACATTGTTTATATTATCACGTTCGCGCTAATATGGCTCTTTGGCTCGAGTCACAATCGCGAAAAAAATTGCCAAGTTCAGAGTAGTTCATAGACATATAAAAGATAGACTGCTTATGAGGCAGTGGAAACCCTAGGTGAGGGTATTTTTCTGAGGGAAAAGGACAACATCAATTTATTTAGGTATCTGTCTTCCTCTAATGGGCGTGATTCGCAGCACTAGAGAAAGAAAGATATCCAAATAAATTTATGTCCTTTTCCCTCAAGAGGACATCCTCCACTACCTCATAAGTAGTCTATCTTTTATGACTTATGTCTATGAGAGTAGTGTAATAGTCCCTGAATGTACGAGTTTCTTTTTTGCAAGCTGAATTTGATTATTTCCGAGTGTGCGGACGGTAGACGATTCGCGAGCGTCTCCCGAGCGTAACGATATTAATAAAATCTAACAATAAGAAAACGAAAGAAAAGGTAACTTATCATAAAAGGGTTGATATAACATTTAAGTGATAAATAACGTCACGATTGTTATCGTGTTTTGTTCTACCTGGGGAGGTGTATCGTTATTATACATTGTTGTATACTATACTTATCGCGTCTTTTCCGTTGACTCGATGCTTGCTCTCCCCCCGCCCCACAAATCTCCCCTGGATCATCATTAACACGCTTGAGAAATTTGTCGTGCGTTAAATAAAATAGCATCCTTGGATCTAGCGCCTAAAATTATTTCACGGTTGAGTTGCGGCGAGCTGAATTCAAACGCAAACGTTACGGTTTCGCTTCGGAGTTGCAGCGTTTGCAACCGCGAGGCACATTGCGCCCGATCTTACATGCATCTACTTACAGATACACATTTTATGTTTCTTTCGCATCAAAATGCAGCGAATTCTTGACCCAGTGCCTTCTATACTCGGCTTAACGGTAGTATAATGCGTCGTACTTTAAAGAATCGCGCTCCCGATGACTTCCGCGAAACGAAAGGAAAAAGAAAGGAGACGAGAAGAAAAAGACAAGGATTCGTTATCCCTAAAACGCGTTCGGGTTTATCGAAACCACGATGAATCCCATGTGACTCGCGGGGTCGTCATCGATAATCGATAATCGTAATCAAAGTAATTTGCATCCGGATTGACCTCTCTGTAGCCGAACATCTCACTCGCGACTAACAATGAGTGTCGAGCGCGTGGCATTACACGAGTGTCTCGTCGTAGAATTAATTTACGATGCGCGTAGCCACGTGTGTCGGAAAGTAATTACCGCGCGCTCGTAATCAGCTACTTTCTAAGTGTAAACGACACGTGCGGAGGTTTTACTGTACCGGCAGTTACGTCGAGCCGGAGTAATTATTATAGAATGTAATATTGTAGAAAAAGAACGTATCGCTGCGTAATGCAAAAACGTACATCAAGAGATTAACAGGACTTTAATCGCGACAGCCTTATCGTATCAGATATTAGCGATGATACTCATTTCTCAAAGCAGCGACGTACGAAATAATGTATAGCGATATCAAAACATTTTAATTTGAAAAATTTAGACGTCGTGCGCTGTGATAAAAATTTGTGGTTTTGTTAAGAAGATAATTTCAAAGATTACTAAATCATTATATTTTAATAATACAGTATCGCAGATTTGTAAGTCACTGATCTACAGACTTTATTTAAGAGTTACGTAAGACGACACGGTGCTCTCGTTAATGTGCAAGTATCGCGACCCCATACAGTGGGGATTCATTCGTCGATCGATGTCGAAACGATGTCGAATCGACATCGACACTGTCAAATTGACGTCGATTCAACATCCTTTCGACATCGATCAACGAATAATTTCTCACTAGAACGGAATCGCGAGCCTACGATCCGTGGGTTTTCCTGCGCGCATTCGTACGAAAGCGAACGTGACGATCTCGCAGACATCTCGATGCGATTACAGTCACTTACTATTATAGTGATACGACAGAGTCGTGGATGTGAATTTAAAAAACGACAACTTTATTTCGGCCCATATTCTGAATCCTTTTTTATCGATAAAAATGCCTGCAAAAGATCTTTTCAGCCAATAAGAATCCTCCAAAACTAATTTTAGGCCCTTTCATCGATAAAAGAAGGTTCAGAATGTGGACCTTTGTCGATATAATAAGGATAAAGTAAAGTCGTCGCATGAGTTAAAAGAATCGTCATCGAGTCTAAAGAAAATGTCGATTCTGAACGCTTTAATTGAAAGGACCTAATTAAGTGCCATGGAAATCTAATCGAGAGAAAAAATAATCGGAATTAGCATCGAAATTGGCTCCAAGCGCGACGACAGTAATTCGATTACTGATTGTGGGCCCCAAAATGGGTTGTCTTTTTTTTCCCAGAGTAATGCATGAACCCAAGGCGTGCCAATGCGCATATAATATGCTTTTAATGCGCATTTTATTGCATTGACTTCAAAACAACGTCAATTGCGTGTTTAAAATGCGCGAATTACTTAAGGGGTTACATCTATCAGACGTCTCTTAAAATAGACCTTTTTTTCGGGAATTTTTTTCCCATGAAGCAATAAAACAATCAAAATACAGTATAAAGGGTTCATTATACATATAATAAGGTGTACAAAAAATTTTATGTTTAATATTTTTTTCCAAAATGGCCGCAGTACAGACGGTTGAAGTACAGTGTCTTTTTCTGGAAGAGGTCTGCGGCAAGATGAATAACATTTTTCCATCTGCACCTAGGACTAAATAAAAAATTTTTTCGTAATCTACACTAAATTTGTCAGAGAAGTACACATGATTATTAACCAAACTTAATTTTTCGCAAGTAGACATAAATTTAAACTTTTTTTCGTTTTTCAGCAAAAATTTGACGTTTAAACGTTTATAAAAAACGTAATTGTTAATCAATCATTAAAATCGTGTGTACTTCTCTTTAAAATATATCTAAGAAGCTACAGTTTAAATTTCAAGTCGATCGGATAAAAATTGCAAAAGTTATTCATCTTGCCGCAGACCTCTTCCAGAAAAAGACACTGTACTTCAACCGTCTGTACTGCGGCCATTTTGGAAAAAAATATTAAACAAAAAATTTTTTTGTACACCTCATTATATGTATAATGAACCCTTTATACAGCATTTTGATTGTTTTATTGCTTCATGGGAAAAAAAATCCCCGAAAAAAAGGTTTATTTTAAGAGACGTCTGATAGAGATGTAACCCCTTAAATGTTTGGGCATATTTAAGATATATAATTTTAGACATATAATTATTTATATTTATGTGGTGAGCGTTGCGCAGAGAAATATGCCCTGCTTAGTAAACAAATGAACGGAAAACATCCAAGTTCAAATCCACCCACGGATACCACCATGGTCTTTTCGAATGCCACTTCTCTCGGAGAAAAGAAAAAAGAAAAAATGGGCAAGGCCCCCATACACCCCGCGCATGCGTGTGCGTGTGTGTGTTGTGTGCTTTTAGTAAGATCCCTACGCATCTCACTCATTTATAATAAATTTACAGTGTCCAATCAGTACCGGCGTTAGGGTGGGGCGCGGTCGGGCGATCGCCCAGGGCGCCAAGTCTGTAGGGGCGCCGTTGCCTGACTTCACCTAGTTTGAGAGCGAGAGAGATTCCCTATAATATAAAAACAAAATGGGGTTCGTCGTTCGATGTCATCGCCTTGTCTTTTCCCCCTCAAGAATTTTGAGCCCTTGAATTTGAATGGACGCCACGATAATCTCGCTCAGGGCGCCAATGTCGCTAAAACCGACGCTGTGTCCAATAATGCGGTGTTCAATAATGCAGTGTCCAATAGTTACGTGTCCAAATAGAGATTACCTCGATATCTGGCTATAGAGAAAGGACACGAATAGGAACATGGAATATCGTGGGACCAAATACGCCTTGCCCAAAACAGAGGTGTCGATCTACTCGTATATTATGGGTAAAGCGAGTTAAACTGAAAAGGAAAGTTATGTACCATTTTGTAAAATTTGCAATCTGTGCTTACATTTTGCAGTAGGTTGAGCTAATCCAGCGATTTTTTATCATCAATATCTTGATAACTATTGCGAAAATTGCAAAATGGTACAGGACTTTTCTATTTGTCTTAGCCCCTTCTATCTTCGCGTGAACGGTGTCAGGAGCTGTACGGAACATCCTGTATATATTTATATGTATATAAATTTTATGCTTATGCATAAAAAATTATGCCTGAGCGGTCAATGGTACAGTTTTTTTGGAATGCGCTACCACAATATACATTAAATGCACATGTAATACGGAATAAAATACGTGCATTAAATGTGAATTTAAATTTACATTTATAATAAAGCACATTATACGCGCATTGGCGCTCCTTGGGTGTAGTGATGAACGTCTGCCACATAAGTTGCTTTCCTTTTACGTGAAAACTCAGATAAATCTCACTTGTGACGTCATAACTCATTGTCAGTTGAATGCATGTTCCTTTTGGTTCTTGAGAAGTGAGATTCAACCAGATTTAACTGAGTTTTTGCACACGATCAAGACCGTGTGCTTTAGTGAGTTTAATAGACTCACATTAATGTCGTCATATCTCAGTATAAAATACTCACATAACTGAGTGACTCAGTCAGTACCACTTGAGTGTAAAAGGAAAGCAGCTATAGTCACAGCGATGGGGAGGTTTTGACATCCACGCTTATACCGTTCGCACGAAAGAGACAAGAGAAAACTAGGATAATGTACTCGCGCGAGGTGTAGACGTTAACAGCTCAATCACGTGCGATCTATTTAATATATGTATGTATGTGCAAGACCTTCTAGCATTTTATCGATGTTTGCTTAATCGAAAAATTAAACTCTCTCTCCCTCTCTCGCGCGCGCGCGCGATTTTTGACAGTTCTTATAAAATTAAGGGGAAAAGCTTTAAGATTTTTATAAAGTATTCTCGCAGCGCGATTATCTCAGTTAATCTCAATCTTGCTGTAAAGGAATTTTCATTCGCGTACTCGCTAGAACGCGCGGCGCGAAGATAAAAGGAGATCGCGGCGGCCGCGGCGCGGCGGTCCACGTGCGCGGCTGGAGCCTTCGGCGTAGCCTCGGTTTCAGAAAATATACACCGTGCACTGTGAAAATGTGCACACGCAACCGTTATGCCACATCTACGCGTAACCATGTGGACTGGTCGATCAGTAATCATAAGCCTCGCGTATTCACTACACGTGCTTAACCACGGAGATTAACCCGTTCGCTCACTTGCAAACCGGCGGCTCCCGCGATCCACCTGTCCGTCATCACGGCAACGCTTTTTCGAATAGCAACGCGGAGAAAGAGAGAGAGAGAGAGAGAGAGAAAGAGAGAAAGATAGGGGAGCAGGAGGGAGGAAAAAGACCGAGCGGCGACACCAGGATAGAATCCCGGCAGGCGACGTTGAAAGAAAGATGTTTGACGCTCGATTAAGCCTGACATTGCCAAGGAAAGGAAGAAAGGCCGCTCCGCGGCCGCTACTTACCGGCGCAAAAAGAATTTCGCTGTGGATGCTGTTCATTCAGCGTCGCGCGTGGGAATAAAAACAAGACATATAGATAACACTTCTATCTCGACGCGGGACAATACGCTTCTGTAAAGTTTCCGTGATTAACAAGCAAATTTGCAAAGACTTAAGACCGAATCAGACTAGCAATTGTTGACTCAGATTGAATTGAAATTGGCGATTGACGATTGTCCTTTAGCTAATGAGAGCAAAACAGCCAGCGATTTAATTGGCTCCCATTGGCTAGAGGACAATCGTCAATCGCCAATCCCAATCCAATCGGAGTCAGCAATCGCTAGTCCGATTCGGTCTTAACGATATTTGACAAAAGAACGAGACCGCTGAAATTATAAAGAAGGGAAAATGCATCGTCGGAGTACGGAGAGAAAAATTTATCTCGCGTGATGTTAATCGCTCTCGCACGAATCCGGAAGCGGAATTGGAAAAATAAGCAGGTAACGTCAATCAACAATCGTGATTTGACCCTTTCACGGCCGAATTACTTTGCATTTATTATTACGATTCTTTTAAATACACAGAACACAATAGCATCCTGGGAGCAGAGAGGCGAAAAATACAAGCGGGATTTCTATGTGCTAATGGTCACGAAAGGTAAATTGCGCAAATCGCACGTAGGTATCATCTCACCTTTTGTTCAGCCGCGGGTGCGATGCTTGACGAACGGAAGGCACCGGCTGGACGATATGTAGGGTAATCTTGATACACACTGATTAACAGAGTTGATTAACAGAGAGCCGCGGTGCGGCGCGATCGCTCTGCCGGCGCCGATGTAGCAGCCCAATTTACGCGGGCATGCCGGAGGAAAAAGGACAAAGAGGGGAAGATGCGCGAGTACCACACGCGTGTACGCGGACGCTTCTATCCACCGCACGGCATTGTCGGCCGTGAAAAATGGAACGACGCGCAGAAGTTGATCTAGTTCTCCGCGCGTCGTTAACGAACACCCGTTTCCTGTTCCTCTACTGCGTTATCCGGAGAACGGCCGAACGGACATCGACGTGCACACTCCTCCCGACCGCAACTCGCGCACTCCTCCCGACCGAGACTCGCGATTTATCATCGCAAATCGAGCCTTAGCCGCGGACACGCTTCATTCTGGTGCAACAGCCGCTGCGGCGACCGGCAGGCTCTGGTCCTCCCCGCGACCTGGGGTGTTGATCCAGGGTCTTTGAGTTTCATAAGAAATTTGCGAATCGAATGCGAAACGCAGACGACGTCGCTTTACGTCACTGCGACTTCCGCGAGACGCGAACCGATTGAATCGCGTGCACGCGAACGAGTATTTCAAATGTCCCCCCCCCCCCCAGAAAACACCCCTTGTCGACGACTCGTCCACTCGCGTCTCGTCTCGATGGAACTCTACGAAAAACACTATGTCTCGGGCCCTCGACGCGCTGCGTGGAATTCAAAATGATCGGTGGTCTTATGTCGATCGCGCGGATGCAGTGCCGCTGGCCCGGAGATGATATTCCACCGCGAAAAGTCAAACGGCCGTATCGGAACGCCGGTTTCGCTTCCGTGCGCGTGCTCGCCGACTTTCAGACTGATCGTGCTCCCTCACCGTCCGTTGGTCTCTGGCACGAGACCACGTATCTCCCTCCTCGAGGTACGCGCCGCGAATACCCTTTTCACTGACGCCGCGATCCCCGTTGATGGCCCCGCGGTGGGGCCGCGCGCGCCTCCCGTCATTCAAGAGCACACCTCGACCAGCTGATGTCCATTTCTACCAATGCAGATTAACTTTAATCTCGACTCTTTTTACTTTTTATCTATTTTTTTAGCGTCAGAAATGGAAAAGTTCAAAGTTAATCTGCATTAGTAGACATAGACACGAGTCAGTTGAAACAGAAAGAAGTATCCTAGTAGTACAGTGCATTGGCTGAACATTGGTTCAATGTTGGTTATATTAGAAATGTATTGTCCAACCGATATTGGCTGTGTTCCGATATTCACTGCCAGTACTGCAAGTCTATAGTTTACGTTACGTATACTATACATTTTTAGTACTGGCACAGAATATCGGAACACAACCAATATTGGTTGGCCAATACATTTCTAATATAACCAACATTGAACCAATGTTCAGCCAATGCACTGTGCACACAGCCATTGTCCAATGTAAAGCCAATATTGGTCATGGAATAAATATTGCACGATAATAATTATATAATATTAGATTTATATTAGAAGTGCATTGGCCAATATTTAACAATGTAATAAGAATATTAATCTAATATTCTTGTTATATAATGCAATATTAAACCAATATTGCTAAATAGCTGTATTAGCTAAATAACCCAGTGCAGGTATAATGTGCTTTAAACGTATATTTAAATTCGCATTAGTACACTTTTTATCCTGCATTAAATGTGCATTTAATGTATATTGTGGTAGTACATTCCAAAAGACTGTATCTTTAATCGCTTATGCATAATTTTTCACGCATAAGCATGTATAAATATAGAGTATTATATAAAATTATATAAGAGAACGGGACGGGAGGATGGGCGAGCAGAATGAGAGAAGTGAGGGCGTCGGGAAGAAAGAACCAGAATGTAATGGTCGCTAAGGGCCAATCCAAGGGCGTCCGGAGGGGGGGGGGCAGATGCCCCATCTTGCAAGATGGGGCATCTGCCCCCCCCCTAGAATTTGTAATCAGCAAAAAATTTTGCCTATTTGGCATACCTTGTCGCGGTGAGAAAGCTATTACCAAAAGGTGTACACATATGTATATACACCTTTATATATGTATATATATTTGAAATCATATAAGTATTCTGGAAGTAATATTTTAACAATATAAATGATGCCCCCCCCTGGAAAAAATTCTGCGGACGCTCTTGGGCCAGTCGCGGGGAGGAGGTGGATGGAGGGTGTAAAGGGTTCGGGCACGCTCCCTACAAAAGCGCCACTTTAACCCCTAAGGGGGAAATAAAGTGATACATACATACATATATAAAATTATATATCTCAAATGCCAAACATGTTAAATACGCGCCTGTTGAGCACACAATGTTGTTTTGATGTCAATGCAATAAAACGCGCATTAAAAGCACGTTCTATGCGCATTAGTGTTCCTTAGGAAGAGAAGGCGTCCATTTTACAATATTGGACCAATTTTGGGAATACTCGCTATTATATATTTACATTATTTCCCATTATATTGCGCCAATATATTGTCCCAAGGAGCGCCAATGCGCATAGAACGTGCTTTTAATGCACGTTTTATTGCATTGGTTTAAAATAACATTAATTATGTGTTCAAAATGCGCGTATTTAACATGTTTGGGCATGTTTGGGCATATATATTTGAAATGTATAATTTTATATAATTCTCTATATTTATACATGCTTATCTACACC